AATTTAGATTATTTTTGATTTGTTTGTCCTATTAAGAGGAGGATATATTTTTCTTTGGTTTGTGTTATTATTTGTACTTTGGTTTGGGATATTATTTTCATTGTGTTCAGTGGACTGGTTTGTGCAATTAATGGTTGTTTTCAATATGTTTTTTTCTTTCTTTTTGTTAAGGATCCGTTTGGTTGGTTGAGTATTGTGCTTGATTAATTCTAAGTTTATTTTCCATCTTTATCCAATGTATTCAATTAGTTAAGTAGTTCAATTTTATTTTTAGTTGATTGATAATGCTTCATTTGGCATAATAAAATATTCATTCATATGTATTTTTAGTTTTTACCTTATCATCATCTTCAATGTATATAAATTCACCGAGATAACATGGGTGCAAAACCATATATTACTTCATGGGAATTATAAATTACAAATTTTGCCAAATGCAACTTCTACGTATTTATATTAATCAAGAATATAGTTTGTTAAAATTTATACAAAATTAAAAGAAAAAGAAGAGAAAGAGTGGTGTATACTTGCGCATATATAAGAAAGCAAGACATGAAGTCATTCCTTCTGCAAATGTATAAATAATATAATTAATATAAATATAAGTAATTTTCTCTTTAACATTTAAAGAAAAAAAAAGAATAAATTACCTTTCACCAAATAGTTCTCATCTAATAATTCGATTTTTTTTTCTTAATATGATATTATGATATCTTATTTTATCCTATAATAATCTGGATTTTTTTCTTTATATGATATCTTTATTTATCTCTCTGAAACTATTTTTCTGTTTCTACCTGATTCTGGTAAATTGCATTTATATATCTATTTATTTATTTTATCTAATCCTTTTTTTTTTTTCAGNTAACAAGTCTTTTGTCTTATACAAGAACGTGTCTGTTTGGTTTATTTTTTTAGTTATTCATATTTCACGTATTCTTATAAATGTGTTTTGCATTTTTATAAATATATGGTGTGAGGTTAGTTTATTTGTAATCTGCCTGTAAATACATGACGTTTTCAAAATTAGGAACATAAACTGTTGAAAAATATTGAAAAATCAATTTGGTGATGTTGGAAACAATATGCACAAAGATTGTTCACATGGCAGTACTACCGAATTACACCACCCACACACTCACTCAATGTGAGTAATATGTTCACCCTTGTGTACAATATTATGTACATATAGCATTTCTCTCTCTCTCTCTCTTTTTTTTTTCTCGGACGATAGAAATTTCATAGAAGAAAACACATAAATACATCTAGAATACAACCCAAAAGCCGAAAAGACAGCTCAAAAGACGAATCTAGTGGGAGGACAGATCCATAGGATCACCTAAAAACTACACTAGAACAAACACAATTAACAACAGAATAAAATAACAATCTTCACAACTAGAGAAAAAACACCCCTACGGGAGAATACACGCTCCCCTACGGGAGAGAAAACACAAAGAAGACAAAAACCAAAAGCACTAGAAAAAACACATAAACACGAAATCCACAACTCAACACTACAAGCCCACTCCCGCAACGCTAAAGGAATCTTCTGTAAGAAAAATTGATTTTGTACCGATTTTGCGGTTACACTTTTTGTAAGTGAAAGACTTAGAAAATTCTCAAAACCATTTTAAGGTGAATGATAAATTATATCTAATTTGTATATGTGGGAAATGTAAGGTTGGAGCAATGAGTTTAAGTAATTCAAATTATTGGATTCGGAAAACATTTTGTCTTTGACGAATGTTAGGATAATCCAAACGAGACCTCATCATGCAACTTGCATGTTATAACTCTATAAGGGTTCGTTGGGGACGAGTAGGAAAAAATGGAACTCGATTCCGAGTCCGTAGCTCGTACGAGCCCGAGGCGCACGGGCGCGCAGCTGCTGCGGACACCGAAAGGTCACGACCCTTGGTGACCATAAGGCGTCTTCTGGACTCTAGATCCGTTCTCGTTCGGGTACGTCCCAAAAGGTGTCTTTTGACACTTAAAGTTCTTGGAGGTATTTTCCTATATCTATAAGTACCCACATGCACGAAACCATTCAAAAATTGAAAAGTGAAGAGCTCTTATATTACTTTTCAAAGATCATATAACATTTTGTGTTCTTTGATTTTTTCGTTGAGCCTTGAGAGTTCCAAACAATAATATTGTTCATCGAAGGCTTGTATATTTGAATCACTGCTATATACAAGTCAAAAATCATTGTATCTTGGAGGCGTTTGCTGTTAACCATGAGTATTTTACAGGACAATTTCGTCTTAAGGAGGATGTAATTATTACGTGCCTTAACTTTTATTTTTGTTTCGTTTTCTTCATTCTCCTTAAGCCATTTTTTTTTATATTTACGAACCACACAAACTACAATCTTAAGACGAAATTTTATGAGTTCATAAGATGGCAACCAGAAGAAACCAAACGTCTTCTTCAAGTTCTAAACCGACCACCACAATGGCTACTAATCCATTAATGGTAGTCGCTCCCGTCCAAGGCGAAAGACCGTCAAAATTCAATGGCTCTGATTTCAAGAAGTGGCAGCAAAAGACGCTTTACTACCTCACAACTCTCTCCGTCTCTCGTTTACTTTCGGAGGACCCTTTGATCATCCATGAAAGTGAAACTGACGTCCAAAAGTGTACGACCTCCAGATGTTTGGCATCATAAGGATTTCTTGTGTACAAATCTCATACTTAACGGACTGAACGACGCACTATATAATGTGTATAGTCCAATTAAGATGGCCAAGGAGTTATGTAATTCCTTGTAGGTGAAGTACAAGACAAAAGATGCTGGGATTAAGAATTTTATCATCGACAAATTCGTAAAGTACCTGATGATGGACAACAAGTTGGTGGTTAGCCAAGTCCAAGAGATTCAAATCATCCTTCATGATATGTTGGTCGAGGGATTGTGAATGAAGCCTTTCAAGTGGCGGTTATTGTTGAAAAGTTGTCTCCTTTGTGGAACAACTTCAAGAGTTATCTCATGCATAGATGCAAAGAGATGAAACTCGAAAATTTGATAGATTGTCTTCGGATAAAATAAAATAATTGAAAATTCAAAGTATTGGCCAAATGGAGCAAGCTAGAGGCTAAGGCAAGCTTAGCCCAAAGAAGCGTAAAAATGCTTTTCATGGCAAACCAAGATGGAGAGCTAAGAAATCCCAGGGATGTTACATTGGTGAATAACCCGGGTACCTTGCGGAAGTTTACTAACTTCTGAAGGGGGTAAAGGATAGTGCGAATTGTCGAGGACAAGATAACACTTGTCAGAGCTCGATCTTTCCATCGTGGTTTGAGTACGTACTTGATTAAATTTCACGTTTAGAGAGGATAAGAACAAGAGCCATTTGACCCGTAGACACTTATAAATGTTGTCCTACAACCCTAACTATAGAAAAAAGTATTTGTGTAATTCCTCGACTTTAAGTGTTGAAGGAACCAACAAGGTAGTGTGCTAAGAGTGAATATTGGAGATCGTGGATGTTCTTCATCCCCAAGACATCCATAAGAATATTGTTTTTGGACCATTAATTGAGTAAGGCCGGATATAGATTAGTTTATTATCATCGATAAATGTGTTATGTCGAAATATGATGTTTTCATAGCATAAGTAGACCTTAATAAAGGTCATCTTACAATTATTGTAAATTGTAATATATTGGTTGACGAAAAGATAAATAACTTGGTCTAATTTATTGAGTATTCTAATTTATGGCATGATAATTAGGACTTATGAATTTTAACATTAGAAGTTGGTGAATCTAGAATTGAATAATACAACAAATATGAAAATCGTGTTAAAATAAAAAGTGACAAAAGCATTGTATCATATGGTTGCTTAATTCACTAGTTCTCTCGAGATAAGTCACACCGGTAAATTTGATTTAAGTGTTTGTGCAGATTCGAGTAGAAAATATATTATAAGTATGCAAAAAATATTGTTGTAAAGCTTTTGTAGCTTTAAGCAACATAAGAATGATATTGATATTCAATGAAATAGTTAGAAGAAATAATCACTCTTGAGTAGGTGATAATTTCTTATTAATCTAAAAACTTATGTGAGAAAAAATTATTTGGACAAAATTGCAAGCACCACTCGAAGGTAGATATGAAAATCTGTTTGAGTTATAAAAAGAGCAAAAGCATTCGTACCTATACCTTAAAATGTGGGGGTGTTCGGGCATGAAAAACACCACATTAAGGTAGATATGAAACTCCGTTTGAGTTACAAAAAGAGCAAATGCATTCGTACTTATACCTTAAAATGTGGGGGTGTTTAGGCCAAGGTAGAAATACCTAAGTAATAATGGCATGAAAAGTTTGTTGAATGATTTAAAATTCATTGAACGATAATATTTACCTATGTTAAAGGTTTCGACTCTTTGTGATCGTAAGCCTTATGTTGACAATATGATGATCTTGGAATATAACCATAATGTGTTCATGAATACCAAGAAAGTAAACTTTGACATTAAAAGTTTATGAAATTCCGATATAATTTTGGAGATTAAATTTCTAAGAGATCGGAAATATTTGTTTAGCACAATCTCATCATGTCAAATGTATGTTTAAGAGGTACGATGTGTTCGATAAAACTTCCAGATTCTCGCGAGTCAAAGTCAAAAGATCTGAACTCAATTTATTTTTCCGGGTCCCTTCCATGCTTCATTTCAGAGGGAACCTCCGATTCGGCGGTTCGATCTATGATTTAGCATTCATGGACGGGGTTTTGATTGATCAAAAAGAGGAATCTTCTTCAACCGATGTGCCCTTAGGCACGGCCATACATAACATAGAAATCACACTTGGAAAGGGTGGACAATTAGTTAGAGCAGCGGTAGAACGGGGATTTCTGGCCTATTCTATTTTGGTAGTTTGATCATGGAATTTCTTGCATCCATTTCACATGCTAGGCGTAGCTGGTGTCTTCGGCGGCTCCCTATTCAGTGCTATGCATGACTTCGCTATCGGTCACCCAGGAGTATTTTAGCCTTACAAGGTGGTCTGCGTCTGGCCCGTCAAGGCTAGGAAGAGCTCCCAAGTCCTATCTTCTCCTTTTTCTTTGTCCTTCTCTCTGTACGGGTCCCTCGAATCATACCTCTCAATTTCTTCTTTTTCACGTTCTTTCTCTTCTTCATAGTCTTTCCAAAATGACTCGACCCCATAGGGAAATCCCATTGCAGTGGGCCTGTTGTTTCTTGTGTCTTCGGGATAAACCAGAAGTGACGTGGATCTTCCAGGGATTTACCTTTTTCTTTTTTTCGAGCCACAAGCCCCTTTGACGTCTCTTTCTGAACATCAAATANTTATTTTACTGGAGGGGTTTGGATTAGCTCCTTCTGATCGTATTTCGCCCGAGATGAAAGAAAAGATAGGCAATTTGTCTTTTCAGAGCTATCGCCCTAATAAAAAAAATATTCTTATGGTAGGACCTGCCCCCGATCAGAAATATAGTGAAATCACTTTTTTTTCTCAACATTTATATTGACAACAGTCTATCGAATAAATATAATTCATCATAATAAGTGAAGTGGGTTTTTGAGTACTGTCCTATAGGTTTTTGACTTTATTGGACGTCCCGGCCTGGTCACAATACCCAGCCGGGCCTTTTTTTGTTCAAACGAATTCTAGATAAATCATATCTGATTTGAAAAATTTGACAAAGAAGTCATTTTGACTCAACAATTGTGGGTGACCTTACAACTTGAATTATAAGTGGAAACATCTCCCGATTGAGTTTCAACTATCGGTAAGGCGGTCATACTTCCTTCACCTAAACTAGAACTTAATTTAGCGGTTCTTTCCAAAAGGCGTGAGTGCAAATAAAAAACATCCCCTGGATAAGCTTCGCGGCTAGGCGGTCTTGAGGTAATGACAGATCCAAGGATAGAAACGACTGGGAACTACCTAGCACGCGATACTTCGAAGAACCATGGCTCCATAGATCAAATAGCCTTTCGTTAGATAAGAACAGAGTTGATAAATACTGATAACTATCGAATAGAAGATTAGAGCAGAAAAATTCATTACATACTGAACGACTGACTCTAAGCCATTTCTGACGACCGTATTCTGAAACACGAAAAAAAAAACATTGGCTTATCAAATTCTCTATCAAGCCATGAAAGAAATTCAACAAACCTTCCCTCTCCCAAACCTCTCCTCTCCTCGGATTTATAGTCGAGTAAGTACCCGCGCAGAACAGACTCGCCCAGACCCATTCTGTTTATCACAGAAGAGACGAGCGACAATTGACCAGTTTCGGGAGACTAAAAAGTTGCAGAAAAAAGGAGGTTGATAACCGATTGCGCCGGACAGGCTTTACGCAATCGATCAAATTAGATAGATATCCCTTCAACACAACATAGGTTATCGAAAGGATCTCGGAGACTTACCAAAGTACGAAAGTCAGGATCTTTCAGAAAATGGATTCCTATTCGAAGAGTGCATAACTGCATGGATAAGCTCACACTAAACCGTCAATTTGGGATCCAATTCATTAGTTTCCTTGGGAGGTATCTGGAAGGAATTGGAATAAGATGGATTTGATTGCACTGGTAGAGGAATTTTTTCATCGAAACTTCAGCCCCAGGTGGCGAAGAGCTGACATCGAGGTGCCAAACCTTCCCGTCGATGTGAGCTCTTGGGCCCACTTCTGCCTTTCCTCCCATTTCCACTAAAGCTTGATATTGATCTTGATCCCAACAAACTTTTCGAAGCGAAGTTCAGTCAAAAAAAAAAGGAGGAAATTCAATAGGGGCTTTTTTCGGGTCCTGGGATAGCGTAGTGATATTTTTTGTTTCTCTCTTTATCTTTGGATTCCTATCTAATGATCCAGGTCGTAATCCTGGGCGTGAAGAATAAAATAAAAAGAGTTTAGAAAGTTCCCTAGCAGTCGAAAGACCTCAACTCTTCCAAGCAAGGAAAAGTCAATTTCAAGCAGCCCTTCTCAAAAAAGAAAAATTTAACTTAAGACGAACGACGGGAATTGAATCCGCGCATGGTGGATTCACAAAATACTGCCTTGATCCACTTGGCTACATTCCGGGGGAAAATACTTCGAAGATGAACCCCTTCCCATGCAATAGTCAAGAATTCTTGACGATATCAAGCTGGAACAACATGTTCTTCCTGAATATCCCGATTCAACGCCAAAGAATTTCCGACTTTAACCAGGGTAAAAGTTGTCTTGTCAAGGAGCCAGATTAGGTTGTATATATAATAACCAGGTAGGTCCCAGCCCAGCTGAAACTCCTCATTTTGCAGAATCAATCAATGAAGTTCATTTTTCAAAAGCACCCAAAAAAGAATGGAGTTTTTTGAAACAACCGAACAAGAAATCCACCCTGTCATTTAGCCAAAAGAAGGACTCTGCTTCTTACGAACCCAACGGGCCCCCTTCCCTCGAATCAAACAAAGAAAGAAGGGCATAAACCCATTTCACGCTCATGTCACGCCGAGGTACTGCAGCAAAAAAAACAGCACAATCCGATCCAGTTTATCATGGGAACTAATGATTGGTTCTATCTACAAAGATTTTGGATTTGTTCATAATGATCAAATTCTATCTGGTCTTGTTTCCACTTTTCCGGTTATTCTCGATACTATTTTGAAATATTGGATTTTCCATTATTTAAATCGTGTATCTCCGTCACTTGTAGTTATTTATCATTCAATTAATGATTGATAAATGATCTACCGATCTTTCAGGAAGAAATTATGTTACAACAGAAAGCGAAGTGAACAAACTTTTCGAAGCGCAGCAGAGCCAAGAATAGAATAATTGATAGAAAGATATTTTGATGATAAAAAAAATGAGCGGAAAAACAAGACAGGGGTGTTCCCTTTTATCAAAAGACTTCAATAGGTATGCGCAAGAAATTCCATCGATAAGATTGAAGTAACTAAGAACCTTGATTTTAAGTAACAATATTCTTAAATAATCCGAACTACTTTGATATCTCCCTTTTCCTTTCTATCCCACAGAGTTTTTGGGAAGTCATAGAACTGTCGCTTTTTCATTTCTTGTTTCTGAAGTCGTGTTTCAATTCTTTCATCTTTTTCTTGATTTCAACTTTTTATTTAGCCAATTTAGTCAAGCCACAACGATATGATAGGACGTTTCACACATAGTAGTGGGGAAAAATATAGGTTTAGTATCACTGCAGATTTGAGACTGAAGATAACTCTCAATGCAACTAGTAATGTAATTTTTCCAACCAGATTGAGTATCATACACGAAATGCTTGTATAAGGAATCTTCACCTGTAGATTCATTACTCATAGAAATCACCCAACGCTAAAAGATCAAAATCGAGAAAGTAATAATCAATCAAAGCCGTAGTAAATCAAAATAATAAGTAAGATAATGATTTTGAAATTCTATTTCAACCCGAAGGGCGGTATTTCAATTAAAAGATATGTAAAAACCCTTATACAAAAGAATACTTTGCAAAAAAATATGATCCTTTCCTGAGTGGATCATCACGGGAAACAATCGACAAATCAACAATTTATCTCTCTCACTTTGGATCCCATGAGGCGGGCCTTGGAATGTTTTAATATAAGCAGGAGGGATTCGCAGATCTTCCACAGAGTAAGCATTACAGAATCTCCAAGATGATTTTTGGAAAAAAAAAAAAAAAAAAAGAGAATAGATCTTCTCTACCATATATCCTATTTTGACACCAAGAAATGAGGTTTTTTCTAGAACTGGAAATGTATTGTCACAAATTCATTTGTTTTTCATTCACTGTCTCAGAAATTGCTTCAGTCCGTACAACGATTTGTTCAACTTCTAGACCCAATTCTCTTTTCCAAGAATTTTTCAAGGAGTCTCACTCACTCATTTGTCCAATCTAATTAAGAAGCCACTTTCACCTTCATCCAGATAGATATCCTATTCATGGATATAGGGTGCACATCCACCCGTGGGCAGAAGTCCTTCCCATATAAGGCACTAATCTCTTTTTAACGTCTAATTAGATCGGGAAATTATTCAAATTAAGAACAGAAGCGGGTTGCTTAGAGCCCTTCCCGCATGCCACAAATGACCTACGAAGAAGAAGAATCCTGGAACAAAATGAGAGGTAGCTAACCAACTTCTAGGAGAGACCCGCACTTAAAAGCCGAGTACTCTGCCGTTGAGTTAGCAACCCGAAGAAGTCAAATATTAAGTATGAATTATAGTTTGAAACATTTCTTAATCTAGTTCATATAGTTCGTGTTACAGATATTTCAATAAATATCCAACTTTGGTGGCTTTAACGATAACTTCAATTCTATTTATTGGTCTAAGTAAGATACGACTTATTTAAAATTTCTCTATTGGAAATAAAGAATTCAGAAAGTATTGCTATCATAAGAATTAGAAATCCTTATAGAAACCCTAATATTCTTGCAGAATTTATAGCCGAGCAATTAAAGAATAGAGTTTCATCTCGAAAAGCGATGAAAAAGGCTATTGAATTAGTGGATACAAAAGGAATTCGAACTTCAGAGATGTTTTTGCTGGTATTTACCCAGATTTGGATGCTCAAGTAGATTTTGGAGCATTCCAAAAACTTGGGGATTCAACTACAAGAAGACAGCCAGTCTGATACAAGACTGCCACTTTTGTCTCTTTCGCCTTTCTTTTTTGAGTGGAGGGAATTTTCCATAGAATAGAGTATTGGAGTGAATTTGAATCACCGAGTAGACCTTGTTGTTGTCAGAATTCTTAATTCATGAGTTGTAGGGAGGGATTTATGTCACCACAAACAGTGACCAATATGAGCTCGAACCCTCCTTCTTAACTCCTGAAACTTCTTCATAGTGGCTCCCTTTCATGCTTTATTTCATAGCGATCCTCTGTCGGCGTGCGCGCCTCCAGTCCCTCCTGGATTGTGCGCTTCATGGACTCCATCTCCCGTCGGTACCGGGTTGAAAAGATTAGTGCTCCCCTCAAAACAGGACGAAAGCTAGGGGAGCGCATGGGATTAGATACCCCAGTAGTAAATAAATTGCAACAGACACAGAACATATGGATTAACTCCTATCCTCCCCTATAGTAGGAGAGCGCAATCACTCCCCACAAGCTAAAGTGATTGTAAAAATTGATTCTACACATAGCTATTAATCCGATAATAATTAGTTTCTCGAAAAAATTATGTTGAATAATTGAAGGCTTGAGGTACTTGTCGGATAGTACTCGCCCAAATGTTTCATTTTAGCGAGCAAACTAAGATGTTCACGAGTTACTCGAGCGATGAATTTTGATCACGTTGCATAAAGTATTGGACATGAAAAAAAGAGTAAAAGTGACTGTGATCACTTTAGGTGGATAGAGTCGAAATGCTAGATCCACAATGGAGTCGAGTTTATAAATTTGGACAAAATGCGTGGATGAAGCTAAATGACTTAAAAATTTTCTAAAATATATTCCTTGGTGGAATAAATTGTGCTTATCATGATGATTATTTGTGATAATCAATTCAATTAGAAGAGCACAAAGTAGTTTTCACAATAGTAAGTCTAGACATAGACGCCGAAGACTTAATTTCATAAGAAAATTATCTCGTGTGGGGGTTACATTGGTTGACTATGTGAAGTCAAAGATGAATTTAGCGGACTCGTCTATAAAAAGCATGAAACGAGATAAATTGTACAAACTGGTTAAGGGAATGAACTTAATAAAAATCCACAACAAACGAACGGTCTTAGTGGTAACCCAACCATTAGAATCGAAGATCCTGAAACCTTGGTTCAACGGGAAAACTAAGTTTTGACAGTTCATTGAAACACTTGAAAATTTCTCGCTCATTTCTAGAACCGTCAAGTGTTAAAATCTGCCTAAGTGGTGAGGCTAAGTCGAGGACTTCTAATGATTCCTATACCTATGGGTGGAGTAAGGCAGGATACTCTTTATAGAAGAATCACCTTTGTATGTGAGAAGTAAAATAGGTCGCTTCAATCGAACACTTACTAAACTGAGATATGGTCCAAAGCCGAAATGGACACAACATGAGAACAAAAAACTGTTAGAGCTGTTATTGTGTGAGTACTACTGTCATGCTACACACAAACAGTCGGTATAGTGCCTCATTCATTTTAGATGAGTTAGCGTATTTTTGGTTTTTGTCTCGTATATATTTTAGGTACTTTTCCCTGCAAAGTTCCTCGTTTTAGCTCAGGCGACTTATTTTTAGATATCCTCGCCTTGATGATCTTTCGTGTCCATCGA